TGTGATTTTCTGCGCATTTTTATTTTTATTTTAGCATAGTGCTCTATATTTTAGGAACGTTTTTAGTAAAACATATTATTCCACTTGCGCTTGTTGGATATCAGATGATTATAGCCAACTCAGCACTATACACCTCATTGTCTATCTACCATCTCATTTCCAATGTGGGCTCGTGGAATGATAAATTATTGTTAATTAGCCAATTAGATAATAGTAAAACACCAAGCAAGAGTACATGCTATTTTAATGTGAATTGTAATTTGTACACTGGCTGTTACAGATACGTTGTGGATGTAGTAACCTGTTCAAGCTGGCTGTTTGGAATTTGCTTTGTTTTTTGTTAATCAGTCATTCTAATGCTGCTTTTGATTTTAGTGATCTTAACTGGTCCTGGTTTGACCCTCAGCTTCTCTCTACCTGCTCAATGGATCAGTTTATTTACATCTGGGACTTGAGGTTAGACCTTGTTTTCTCAAGTGATTCCTCTTTTGATTCTCTGTATGAAAGTCAACAGCAGAACTGACATACAGCCCTTAGTCATATGACAGTCTCTTTGATGCATGATACATTGTACAATTTCTGTGACCCAATTCTAACTCCCACAGTGGAATGTTGGGCTTCCGGACAATCTTATTATTTGACTATGTACCTGACGCAAGGTGTGGTAACCTCATGGTCAGTGAGCTGGACTCTGGATCAAATGATATGTATTCAATCCCTGTCCTAGCGTCACTGTTTTTCACTCTGAAGCAAGACACATTACCAGTACTCTCACAGTGCCTATCTCCACCCAGTTGCATAATAGCTGCATACTGTCAAACGTAATGCTAGGAGTAACCCTGTGGTGGACTAGCATGCTATTCTTGGGTTGCACTTTCACCCAATAAAAAAAATAATAAGACACTTTTCCAAGTTTTAGGTCTGTATGTTTTGCCAAACTTCAAATATTTGTTGAAATATTTTGCACAAAGTTACAGAGCCCAGTATGGAGCTGCCATGTTGTTGTACGTGTACCTCCATGGTGCATAAACACAACAGCCGGGAAATAGTGTAAACATCTGGAACTTACTTTGGCTATCTAGGCGACTGATTATCTGCAAACTGATCAAGCAAACATTGATGTAAACACTTTTCCTAATACTTTAACTTCTAAAAAGGCTACAAATCATGATGTAAATGTAATATTTTTCGACAAGCGCATTCATGCATGTAGCTTTATGTCACGCACCATCATAACTCTGAAATTTAAAATGTGCCTGTTTTCAGACAAAGCAAGCTATTGAGCTGAAAAGTTGTTAACAAATATAAATTTATTCCCTCTTATGCCTGATGAGGATAATAACATTGGTGGCTTTTTAGTTTTGGGTTTTAGAGAATGATGATGTCAAGTGCAACCCAAGAATTCTGGGGGTGGGGGAAGAAGAAAGCTTCATGCTATGGGAACTGGAATAAGAGCCAGCCTGATGTGCAGCTGCTTTGCTGAAACCCAGACTTTACCTACTTACCCAAGAATTACTGTCTGTGCATCACATAGTAAACTTCTTTCATCTCAAATTAATCAAGATTCATCAATTGAAAGCTCTATTTTATTTTCTATATCATTGTTCTCTTCCCCTTTGTTATTTGCAGGGATAGGAAAAAACCAGCAAGCTCACTGCAAACCATTGGTATGTGTGATGCAATAACAGACAAAAGTTAACTCCTCAACTTGTGTCCCCAAATGGAAGGTGCCTATTTACAGGAGGCACATGTTAAGTTGGGAGAAAAAGGGGATATTTCCAACCCAAGAAGATGCATTTTGCACCTTAGCTGCAGGATGGCTTGGATAGGTTGTCTATTGACAAAAACCAAGACTAATGGTGTTTTTTTGAGTTTGTCATTTTACTTTTGTTGTGATCTGTATTTTCTTTATGATTTTGTTAAATATATTTACTCATACTTGTTTATTTCTATCTGTATAATAATAATAATAATAATAATAATAATAATAATAATAATAATAATATTTTGCCACTTAAGCTTCTTATGTCTTCTTTTCTTAATTTTAATTTTTTTTTCTTTGATCCCATCATAGTTGGAGCTTCCCAAGTCAAATGGAACAGAGTGAACCGTCATGTTCTTGCCACCAGCCATGATGGTGATGTTAGAATTTGGGATCTTCGGGTAGGTGTCATAAGTGTAATGGCCTAACACCTTATTCTGGTCCCAAGGGATTCTAATTATTAGACACCCTTGGGACCAGAACTCATGGGGGAACTCCCGTATGAAAAGGTCGGGGATGCTTATTGGAAAATTTGAATTGAACCCTTAAAGGATACCAATCTGTGCTTGACTTTGACCAGCTTTATTTGACCCCTAAATGATATAATAAGCTTGATTACTAGCCACTGTTCAGGCTGCGTTAGTAGACCAGACGTGAGCAACTGGTGGAAATCAATGGAATGTAGTCTTACTAGGTATACTAACTGTCCCAACTGCTCATGAATGACCCAGTGCTTATACTTGTTTCTTGTTTTAAAGAAAGGTAACACACCTGTAGTGTACATCACAGCTCATCTATCTAAGATTCATGGACTGGACTGGTCCCGTTCCAGTGGTACAACATTAGCAACCTGCAGTAACGACTCTACAGTGCAGGTAAATCTAGAGAAAAGAGTGTAACAGTTGTAGTTAAAATTTCAAAATCAACCACTTTGTAAATAGTCAACTGGTCAGCCTTCCACCAGCTGGGATTTTAAACAAGTTTTCTGTTCTATTTACAATATATTTTTCTTTATTTACTCATAGTGCCCCCAATTTGCACAGCAGAGTACTACCTTTTTAAAAAAAATCTTTGAATTAATTTAAATCAAGAGTGGTTTGGATTTTGAAAGCTACAGTACAATGCAGTAAACAAACCACCTTATCATTCAACCATGACATAGATAGTAAGGACATCAATCACCCTTGATGGGGCTAACCTCAGATACAGTAAAAGCCCACATGTAAGAACCTACATTTTTTGAAGTCTGGCAACTAATAGATCCTTGTACTTTGGGGTACTTATTGGCAATTTAGGTCAAGTGGGTTCTTAATTTCTAATGAAACTTGGGTTTGGTCCTTGAAAATACAATACATAGGATTTGTTTACAAATGTGTATTTTCTTGTAATATAAATTTTCAATCTTCAAGTCACACTCGGTTAAAATGTTTATCATAATTCAGCTGTAACCCATGTATAAGAACCTGCTTGATCTTGCTAGGCTAAGCAGTTTCTTATATATTTGGGTATTAGAATGGAAAATTTCTGCCAGCAAGGTCTTAAACCACTAGGTTCTTACACGTGGGTTTTTTTTGTTGTATTACCTTCTATAAGTCATTTTGATCACAATATACTGTCATTGCTATTTTACATATCTGGTACCAAATTGTCCAAACAACACTTACTGGAATAAAATTGTCCCCGCCAACAACGTATGAACAGCACCGTTTGTTTTTGGCCAAGAGAGAAGTTTGTTTCCACATCCGAAGACACGAGATAAATCATGGAACATAAGAACTGAGAAATAAACCTCTCTGCTACCTACCCTGTTGCTAAGAAAATTAATACAGAAAACAGGGAGGGTGGGTGGGAGAAAAACTGCACGAGGTAGAAAAACGATGTGACTGCTACAAGAGTGATAGAAACTTAAATACAATACGACATACGCTCAAAATTAAGTAATGCCAGTGAATAGGGGTAGCAGCATGTTCTCTGTTAGGGCACCAGACTTGAAATTCGAAGTGGATTCAATTCACACTCTGATCACTAAGCTGGGGTTGTTTCTCGGTGGAGCCTAGTTCAACTCCTCGGTCATGTATGTAAATAGCCAACTGGGCCAGGTTGTTCAAAGCCCGGTCGGGCCATACTAACCCAGGATTAGCGAAAATGTTGATATTTTCATTTTTGTAACTTTTTGGCGAGGTTTTCTGTTTGTATTGTTTGTCCTTCAGGTTTGAATTTAAATGATCTCAAACTACACAAAAGATTTTTATCCTAGAAAAGTCAATACTTCTTTAACTTTTAATCCTGGGTTAATGTTTACCAGCTTTCGAACAATCCGCTCCTGATCTGCCTCCTGCCAGTTGCGATTTTTATGCCTATTTGCAAATTCACACCCCACGTCACGCATCGAGCGCGCGCTAAGTAATAAAATGAACAAGGATAGGGCAGATGGCCATTGCTATAGCTTTGCCTGGATTTAATGATCTTGGACGTGCGGTGACCCCTGTTTTTCTTTCGATGGATCATTTTCTCTATCAATTTTCTTTGTTTAGCAAAAAAATGAAAAAATCTATCGATTAGAAGTTTGCATTTTTTTGCAAAATGCGCCATCGAATTCCGTTCCTTTTAGCTCTTTGTATATTTGTGCGGTGGTTTCAAACGCCTCTTGAAGGGTTAAGTCTTGTGAAAACAGTGGCAACATTTGGAATTATTAACGCAAAGGATTCACTTATACAAAATATTAGTAGGAGAGTTTGTCTCCGTTGATTCATCTTTGATATTTTAAGCTAAAAACTCTGGAGACCGGGAGATCGTGCTGATTTACATGCGGCAATTTTTCAAAATCAAACTAGTTTTCCACACGCTTTATCTCTGAAACGAAGTCCGTGACCCCCAATTTTTTTTTCATTTCTGAAACAAGTAATTCATTCTTTGTCCGCGGTAGAAGTTTGGAGAAAATCTATCGTGTAGAATGTTTTCTCGCAAACGTCCTTAAGTGGCATTCCTAAGAACTAGTTAGTGTAACTAAGCCAATCGACCATTATAAACGTTCAACATTTTTTTTTTGTTAAGGTTGTACAATCTACATCATTCAGAATCAAACGTAGCATACAAGTACTTGATCTGATTTGAATCAGTTTTAATGTAACACATCTTTATCAACAACTGCACTTTATAGCTCAGTCGATAATCAAGAGCTCTGATTTATCTTAGTTGTGGAATACAGAAAATCCTCGCCAACCAGAAAATAAGTTGAATGCAAATTCTCCTGTATGGAGGGCAAGATTTACGGTAAGTTTAAGTTGTAATAAGTCCAGCAGTGGTTAAGTCTTGACTGTTATGTAGAAGTATATGTCCACAATTCTCTGGAAGTGCTAGAGCCAATGTAAACACGTTGGAAGCTCACGTAAACGGTCACCCTCGGGATGCTAAAAAGGTGTCCGTAGCTGGAGCTGTCTGCTTACAGAATGATTCTTGTAAGCGACCACTAAAGGTGTAAGGGATACATGACTGCTTACGGGAGCTTGTCCAGCAAACAATAAACATTAGGAATGCAAAAAACACCACCCTACTACTGTAAATGATTGAATTTTCTGTTGCCTCATGCAAAGACGCAATAATTATGGTGTGTATTGCAATCATAATAATTATTGCCACCAACATTAACATTAAGTAAACAGTCTCGCTGTAACAAAATGAAGTGAAGCAGTTTACAAGTGTTCATGAGTATCTTTCATAGTCAGGCCCAATTCCTCACGGGAGCTTAAAAACAAAGGAAAA